GCTGAAAGAAAAACACTTAACCATGAATTCTCAATTTGGCAAACCTATTCTTCAAAAACAAACAACAAAAAAAATTAAGACATTCCCAGATAAATAAAAATTGATAGAATTCATACAAGAGCTTTTCTTCTGGTTTAAACATACTCTTGAGAATGTGGTTCTTCAGACTCGTCACCTAAAATGTGGAGTCATTTCTCCAGGTCCCCATCTTTGGTAGGGTTTGGATTGTGAAGCCAGAAAGCATACCCTGTAAGAAATACTAAAGGAAGTTATTTAAGCTAAAATAAAAGGGCACTAGACAATATCTGGAATCCACATAAGAAATAAAAGGTAACAGTAAAGGTAGTAACACAGGTATATATAAAAGTTAGTATATATTTTTGTAATTCTTTTTGTTATATAAACCAAAATATAGAATAGAATAAGGGAGTTAAAATGGTGCATTTGAAATATATATTTAACACAAAAAAGGCACTAATTGAGAAATAGAGGAACAAAAAGCAAAAGCAAAATGGCAGGTATAAATCCTACCTGAACAGTAATTATATTAACTATAAACCACTCCAATTACAAAGCAGAGACAGGCAAAATGAGTTTAAAAAAAAACGAACTATATGCTCTTTATAAAATATACACTTTAGTTCCAAAGGCACAAATGGGTTGAAAGCAAAAGGACAGGAATATTTACCATATAAATTAAACAGTAATCCAAAAAGAGCTAGAGTGACTGTACTAACAGACAAAATAGACACTAAGAAAAAACTGGTGTGATAAAGGACATTATATATTGAAAAAGTGTTTATCCATCAAGAATATGTATCATTTATAAATATATATGCACCTAACAACAGAGGACAAAAATATATGAAGCAAAAAATGACAGTATTGAAGGAACAAATAATTTAACAGTAATAGTTGGAGACTTCAATATCTTATTTTCAATAACCAATAGACCAACTAGACAGAAGATTGATGAGGAAACAGAAGACATGAGCACACTATAAACCAACTAGACCTAACACCTATGGAACAATCCTCCCAACAATAGCAAAATACACATTTTTCTCAAGTGCACATGGAACATTCTTCAAGATATATCCTTGTTATACCATAAAACAATTCTCAATAAATCTGAAAGGACTGATAGCATGTAAAGTATGTTCTCTAATCACAATGGAATAAAATTAGAAATCAATAAAAGAAAATTTGGAGAATACGCATATGTGAATAAACATGACACTTCTAAACAACCAATGGGTCAAAAAAGAAATATCAAGGGAAATTAAAGAACAGTTTGAGATGAACAAAATGAAAACGTAACAAAACATTTCATATGCAGCTAAAGAAGTGCAGAGGGAAATTCATAGCTGCAAACACTTATTTTTTTATTTTTATTTTTTTTATGAGCAATCCCCTGAACCAGAATAGGTTCAAAGTACTTCGGTAGGCACTTACATTTAAAAATAGAAATATTTCTCAAATCAATAACCTAAGCTTATCTTTAGAAACTAGAAAAAGAAAAGCAAGTAAAACCCCAAGCAAACATAAGGAAGATAACAGTGAGGATTAAAACAGAAATAAGATAGAGAAAAATCTATAAAACCTTCTACAGTTTGGTTCTCTGGAAAGATCAACAAAACTGACAAACCTTTAGCTGGACTAACCAAGAACAAAAAATACAGGAGACACAAATTATTAAAATTAGAAATGAAAGAGAAGACTCACTACTGATCTTACAGAAAGACAAGGGGTTACTCCGAAAATTGTAAGCTAACAAACTAGCCTAGATGAAATTGACAAATTCCTAGAAGAACCAACTACTGAAACTGACTCAAATAAAGATAGAAAATCTGCATAGACCTGTAGGATTAAAAATAATAAACGAAACAAAGAAACAAAACTTTCTACACACAAGAAAGCCCAGAACCAGATGGCTTCACTGGTAAATGCTACAAAATGTTTAAAGAAGAATTAACCCCAATCCCTCACAAACTCTTCCCAACACTAGGAATAGAGGGAATACTTACCAAATCATTTTAAGAAGCCAATATTACCTTGATAGCAAAACCAAAAACATTACAAGAAAATAAAACTACAGAACAGTATCCCTTATGAACAGAGATGCAAAAAAATCTTAACAAATTACTAGCAAGCCTAATGCAACAACATATAAAAAGGACAACATGACCAAGTAAAATTTATCCAAGGTATGAAAGCTTAGTTGTGCATTTGAAGTCAATCACTGTAATACACCATAGTAATGGAACAAAGGACAAAACCCACAAGATATCTCAATCGACACAGCAAAAGCATTTGGCAAAATTCAACATAATTTCATGACAAAAATTCCCAACGAACTGGAAATAGAAGGGAATTTTCTAATCCTGATGAAGAGCATTGAAAAAACCCACAGTTGACATCATACTTAATGGTGACAAACTAAAAGCTTTCCCCCTTACATCGGAAACAAGACAGGGATGTCTGCTGTCACCAATTCTATTCGATATTGCACTGGAGATTCTACCAGGAATTATATACGAAAATGAAATAAAAGGCAGCAAAATTGGAAAGGAAGAAGTGAAACTATCTCTATTTGTAGATTATACCATCTTATACACTAGTCTTCACTGTCATTCATAGGTTTTTGGAGACTGCAACTTTAAGTGAAATGACAATGTATGACAAAATCAATTTTTTGTTATCAACATCATAACACAACAACATTGAATGAAATGATGTTATTCAAGGACCTGCTGTATATCGTTTCACTTCAAATTTACACCTAAGAACATATTGATGATGTTAAGTCAGGACTTATAGTATACAGAAAATATACAACACATTGTATTATTGAGATTGCAATACTCCTCAAATTGATCTACAGACTCAGTGTAAGCCTTATCAAAATTCCTGCTATTCTTTTTTACAGAAATGGAAAATCTGGTCCTAAAATTCATACAGAAATGCAAGGACCCAGAAGAGCTAAAACAATCTTCAAAAAAAAAGTTGGGAGATTCACATTTAAATGTCAAAACTTCCTACAACAATCTGAGTGAACCGGCAACCAACAGAATAACAGAATGAGAAAACATTTTTGCAATCTACCTATCTGACAAAAGGGCTAATATCCAGAATCTACAAAGAACTTAAGCAAATGTACAAGAAAAAAACAACCCCATCAAAAAGCAGGCAAATGATATGAACAGACACTTCTCAGAAGACATTTATGCAGCCAATAAACATATGAAAAAATGCTCATCATCACTGGTCATTAGAGAAATGAAAATCAAAACTACATTGAGATACCATCTCATGCCAGTTAGAATGGCAATCATTAAAAAATCTGGAGACAACAGATGCTGGAGAGGATGTAGAGAAACAGGAACACTTTTACACTGTTGGTATAAGTGTAAATTAGTTCAACCACTGCAGAAGACAGTGTCACAATTCTTTAAGAGGATCTTGAAATAGAAATACCATTTTACCCAGTAATCCCATTACTGGGTATATACCCAAAGGATTATAAATCATATGCACATGTATGTTCACCATGGCACTGTTTACAATAGCAAAGATTTGGAACCAACCCAAGTGCCCATCAATGATAGACTGGATGAAGAAAATGTGGTACATATACACCATGGAATACTATGCAGTCATAAAAAAGGATGAGTTCATGTCCTCTGCAGGGACATGGATGAAGCTGGAAACCATCATTCTCAGCAAACTGACACAAGAACAGAAAACCAAACACTGTATGTTCTCACTCATAAGTGGGTGTTGAACAATGAGAACACATGGACACAGGGAGGGGAATATCACACACTGGGGCCTGTTGTGGTGTGGGGGGCTTAGGGGAGGGATAGCAGGGGGTTGGGGGACTGATGAGGGATTTAGGAGAAATACCTAAAGTAGGTGATGGGGAAATGGATGCAGCAAACCACCATGGCATATGTATACCTATGTAACAATCCTGCACCATCTGCACATGTACCCCAGAACTTAGAGTACAATAAAATTTTTTTTTAATTTTACATGTATATATGGTAATATAAATGCTACTTGGGCAAACCAGAAGCAAAGAAGCAGTCAAGGCTTGATGACTCTATCCAATACCTATTGCTAGATTTCTTGTCTAAGTAAGCTAATATTCCTTACTGCTCCAGATACATTCTCTAGATGACAGTGATACATAATCTTTACTCTCTTCAAAATTTGAAACACAAACAGCAATGTTTTAAAGATTGGTAGGATTTCATTTGTTTCTCTGGACATTCTACTTTTTTGGAACCCATAAAATGGTACCTGGAAGACAAAGTGGCAAGTGCTGATAGGTACTTAGGCAGTCTTAGTTCTTGTTTGTTTTTGTGAGAGTCTTGCTCTGTCACCTAGGCTGGAGTACAGTGGCACAATCTCGGTTCACTGAAACCTCCTCCCACTGATTTCAAGCGATTCTCCTGCCTCAGTCTCCCAAGTAGCTGGGATTAGAGGCACCTGCCACCATGCCCAGCTAATTTTTGTATTTTAGTAGAGATGGGGGTTCAATATGTAGGTCAAGCTGATCTCGAACTCTTGACTGCAAATGATCCGCCTGCCTTGGCCTCCCAAAGTGCTGGGATTACAGGCATGAGCCTCTGCACCTGGCTGTTAGTTGTTTATTTTTATTTAAAAACAGCCTAGTCAGCAATCATCTCTTTGCCTCTCACAGACCAATCAGCTAACTCTCAGGTGACTTCTTGGCTAAAATCCTCAGTCAACACTAGGGCCAAAGGCAGTGATGACTCACTGGCAAACATCAGATGCTCAACAAGAAAATGTTCCCCAGAAACAGCCTTCTCCTGCAGTGACTGGTGTACTGTGAGTGGCATCCAGCTTTGTAGCTCTCCTTTCTCCTACAGCTTGGTATTCATCACCCATCTCTTCATTAAGATAAGCTGATACAGTAGGCAGCAATACAGATGGAAATATAGTGAAATATCAATAAGTAAAATGTAGAATACCTTGTTTTTAGCTAATTCTTTTTCCAAATTGCATCTTTCTTGTGCTATTTCTTTTTCTGTTTTATTAACCTGCCCAAGGGGGATGGGAAAAAAAAAAAGAAATGGGTCAATTTTACAGCAGCTGACAGGCTCCACTATAGCAGACATATCCTGTGTGTCAATTAATACCTACACTGCAGAGATAGCACATCCTCTCAGAAAAGGGGCCAATCAGGGAGTCTCTGAAGCAGAGCAGACTTCACAAATAGCCCTGAAATTAGAAAGACACGTCTACATGTCAGACTCTGCTGGTTCCTTCCTAAGTAGGAAGACAGGGCTGTTATCCCTTAACCTCCACTGTCCCACTCCTTCAGAGGACATCAAATTTTAAAATCTGACCCCTTAACTAACATGAGGATGTGTGAATTACTAGTTAACATTCACTAATGCTGGATAAGGATATACTGTTCTATTTGGCACAGACTACTTCATATGCTAAAAGGCATAGGTTAGCCACCTAAAGATTCTTTATTGGGCAACTCAGACAAACTGCACCTGGGTTTCTTTTCTTGTCTTTTGCATTTAAAATATAATTTTAAAACATCACCACACCACAAAGAGAAGCTATTGTCAATCTGCTTCTACCTACCTCCCTCTGAAATCTTTCTTTCTCCTCTAGCAGAAACTTCTTCTCTTGCACTGATGCTTGCAATTCACCTCGCAATCTTGCGATAGTTGATTCTAGCAGCTCTTTTTGCACAGATGTTCTCTTTTCAGCATCCTGTGCTTTCTGGATACACTGGTTATGCTCAAGGATTAAATGATCCCTGCAGTAAGAGAACAAGAACATAGGAAAGCTAAATGAGAGTTCTAATTTAACAGAAAGAGCAATTAAATGTTCTTATAGAACATATTTCCTGACTGAGAGTAGTTACCAAAATGGTCTAACAAAACTAGTTTCTTAAGGGCAGAGTCTTAATTTTATCTTTGTAACTGGCCCAAAAATGCAAGATTAGATGTTTTCATAGACACACACACACACACACACACACACACACACACGAAACACAAATGCAAGAATGAAAAATGTGTAAGAAGTTGCCCATAATTTACTTACAGATGTTCTTGGAGTTGGGTTTTCTCATTCTGAACAGTCTGTAGTTCATTTGTGATACTGGCATGGGCTGCATCCAGCAGTAAGTTTTGTTCTTGAAATGTCTGTGTCATCATTTTCTGCTCTACCTGAGTGTTAAAAGCAGTATTAGAAGTTGAGGCTCTAGAAAGTATTTTGATAGCTGGGATTACAGGGTATCATTTGGAGTAACTGATCACTGAACTAACTTAAAAAAAAAAAAAACAAGTTTTATTTATATAAACAAAACCTCTTTTTAAAATAATTTATTTTAATGCCCAGTTTCTCTTTGTACTCTTGAGTTGACCAGAATTCTATCATTTTATAGCTCTACTAACCAATAGTCAAGATGCATTATTTACCCAGCCTGCTGAAAAACTATAAAACTCCTAATACCAACAGATTTTTAAAGATAGTGTATTAGGAGTATTTTTGGCATTTTAAAATTTCAATATGGTACTTTATTTTTAAAAGTAAAACAATATAAATGTATATAAAATGAAAATATCCCTTCCTATTCACACTTCCCCTCTAAATAATCCCACATTCTAAGGATTACCATGTTTAACAGTTTGCTGTGAATTCTTTTGAGACTATCTTAAATTGCACTCAGATACTGTTACAGCAGAAGCACTATAACTGTTTTACATAATTTATTTTCTTTGGCTCACCATTTTGGAATTATCAAAACATAACATTTTTGTGTACCACATAACCCTACACATAATCCATAAAGTTTTTGCAAACACAGTACATATTAACAATCAGTTTTATTAATACTTTTTAAAACACTTCTATTTTAACAATATTTGATTGCAAAGCAAGCCTTCACACTTGGTAAAATGGGATCCCAATTGTGTTACACTACAAACTTTTGAAATATTTGTAATAAATAGTATTATACATTCAGTCCACTGAATTATAAGTCCATGAAAGTAGGAATTGTCTTTTTCACCACGATAATCCTATCTAGATACAGCATTATACCTGCACAGAGTTAAAAAAACTAATTATTTATTCAGTATACGTTATGTGCAAAGTGTGCTTAGCACTATGAGAAATAATATCCTTGCTTCTAGGAAGCTCACAGTGTAACCCAAGAAAAGAACCAGCACGTAAATTACTACTAGAAAATGCAGAATAGGGAAGTAGCATAACAATTAAATATACTGACTCTGGAGTCAGCCTAGATTAAAACGCAACTCTACTTCTTACTAGTTAGGTGAATTTGGGCAAGTGAACTTCTCTAACCCTCATTTTCTTATCTGTAAAATGAGGATAATAAATATCCTTTTACATAATGGCGGCTACAATTAAAGGAGGTTATGTGTAAAATCCTAAGCACAATGTTTGGTGTATATAGTAAGCAATGCTTATAAAAAGAGAAGGTGATTATTACCATGGTAGTCTGTTTAGTGTTCCAGGAATAGAAGTTGAAAGAGAAAACTTATCCCTTCTTATTGGGATGAGAAAGCTCCCTGATGAAAATGACTCTTAAAGAATAAACAGAATTTCAGATATTGAAGACAAAGTAAAAAGCATTCTCAGCATAGAAAATGGCATAAGCAAAATGGGAAACTGCAAGGTGTTTGAGGAAAAAGTTAAGTATTTAGTGTTAGTCATACATGGTCTCCATGATTCTATAAATAATGGGACAAATAATTATTTTTTTCTCAAGTGATAATATTTGAGAAGAAACCATGAAAAGCCCTGAGTGTAAGGCCAAATCACCCGTCTGATGAAAAGTGAAAAGCGTTAATAGAAATAAGATAATTCAGTCAATTTTTTGAAATTTATTGTTAAAATATTTTATTTTTCCAGTTGGCCATGGACATTTCCTGATCTATCAACCAGGGTGGCTTTCTGCCACCTGGTGAACTCTATTAATTTAACACATTCACTAGTGTTAAATGAATACCTGCAGAATGGCCTGATGCTCGGCAATGATTCTGGCTTTCTCCATACCAACAGTCTGAAGCATGCAGCTCAGCTCTGAACACTTTTTAGTCAATTGGTCATTCAAAACCTAAGAAAACACACACAGCGATTCATTGGTTTCTCCAATAAAGAATTATTTTTACTTATGTATCATTATTTTTAATGAATGCATAGTAGTTCACTATATATGTGAACCTAATTTATTTAACCTATCTTCAATTCACATTGCATTAGTCTAAAAAATACTTTCAAATATTAAAAGTCTAGACTCTACAAAATTATAAATTAAAAGAAGAGATTTGTGGATTTGGTAGAGCAACTGATGCATACAGCATTTTACTGATCTATTCTTCACAACTTTGAACACTAGTTCACTAAACAAGACATCTGCAAAATGGAATTTATAATGTCAGTGCCTAGCCAATATCATAGAAATCCCTGAGCATTCAGAATTATTTAGCTGGTAACACAAAATACCTAAGCTCCTTCGCCACCAACTGACAATATTCATAAAAGCAAAATATAATCATTTTACCATCACAGGATTAATCTTTCAAAAAAAACAAAAATCTTTTGAGCTACACAGATCCATCATATATGTAGGTAGTTAATCATTCTCTTTTCTTTTCATAATTTGAAATTTGTATTATTGCCAAGAAGATTTATCTTAATTATCAGTTATTTTTGCAAGGTAGAATTAGCAAAGAACTTATGTTTTAAACAAGTTCTTCAAGAACAAGAAACTTTGAAGGAACACTATGAAAAAGAAACACAAAAAATAAAATGGAATAAAAGATAAATAAAAGATTACATGGCAAACATCACAAATGGTATGGACAGTACAGTAGTTAGAAACACATTCAGGGGCATAAAGTCGCACCAGATGTACAAGCTATTCATCAAGGAATACCTGGGAGTGAAACAGAGGAGAACCCTTCCTCTTTGAAAAAAAATAGCTAATTTTCTTTGGTGCTAGATTACCTGAGTTCAAATTTCAACTCTGCCACCTACTATATATGTTCCTGAACTTCTTTGTATATCAGCTTCCTTATCTTTAAAATGTGAATAACAGTTTCCATTTCATAGGGTAATTGTGAAGATTACAACTTGTTAGTAATATAAAGTGCCTGGAATTGTGCCTACAATGTGGAATGGGCTCAGTAAAAATGTTAACTACTATTACCATAGGAAGAGTAATAGTTGTTGATGTTATTATATTTAAAAACACATTTTGTATTTTTAAAATTATTTTTCTTTATAAAGAGAGCCTAGCAACACTATGATCCTAATATTGAGACAATCAAATTGTACCAAGAGAAAAGTCACTTTAAGTGATAAACAACTGTTTGGGCTCTGTGATAAGTAACTCCAGTTTGCCTGCACATCCGGTGACTCTTCTTGCTGCAGGTGCACATATATATAAAACATCAGCCCGATCTGGGAATCACCATCCCAGAAGTGATTACACATAAACTTTAAAATTCAGTAGATATTTGTTAGGTTCCTACTATGCTAGTGACTACAGAAGATACAAAGAAAGTAAGACACAGACCCGGCCATGGAACTATTCAGAAGTTCATTTTGAAGGGAGAAAGACATATATTTAATGAGAAAATCAGAAAGTGAACAAAGGCAAAGTACAAACTGGTGCATAATTTCAGTGGTATAGCTTGTATACTTACATATAATAGGAATTTGGAAAATGAAATGAGAAATGTAATTAATTTGATGTTTCAAAGATGAAATAAGTCTTATAGAAATGAAAAGTTGGGTGATGGAGATGGTATGAATTTATATAATCAAGACAAATTTTATTTCTTGGTTATTTAATTGAACAAAATTAAATAACATCTAAAAACTAGTGAAAGCATGAAAATTTACTTGTGCTTTTTCTGATGCTTCATTAAGAGATATTATTTCAGACCTCAAATATTCATTTTCTTTGTGTTCCTTGTTGAAAGATATCTGCACGTTCTGTAAGGAAAAAACAATAACTCTCTTTTTCACATATAAGAGATATTACATGCACCCCTGTAAAAATAACTGTTTTGTATTTCAGTCAGTACCAGTTCAAGTTCCAATGACATACATTGGAACTTTGTAAGTGTCTTATAAAGAATTTATAAAAATCTTGACATCTTCAACTCCTGAACTTCTCTTTATTTTAAATTATTTAATAAAACTATTTAAAACAATAATGAGATACCACTACACACCTATTACAATGGCCAAATCTAAAACACTGACAACACCAACTGTTGTCAAGAATGTGGAGCAATAGGGACTCTCGTTCATTGCTGGTGGAAATGTAAAATGGTACAGCCACTTTAGAAGACAGTTTGGTGGTTTCTTACAAAAGTAAACATATTCTTAACATATGATCCAGTAATCATGCTCCTTGGGATTTACCCAAAGGAGCTGAATACCTATGCCCACACGAAAACCTGCACACAGATACTTACATCAGCTTTAATCATAATTGCCAAAACTCGGAGCAATCAAGGTATCCATAAGCTAATGGATAAATTGTGGTATACCCAGACAAAGGAATATTATTCAGCACTAAAAGGAAGGAAATGAGCTTTTAGCCAGACACGATGGATCATGCCTGTAATCTCAGCACTTTGAGAGGCTGATCACCTGACGTCAGGTGTTCCAGACCAGCTGGCCAACATAGTGAAACGCCGTCTCTACTAAAAATAAAAAAATTAGCCAGGAGTGGTGAAGAGCACCTGTAATCCCAGCTACTCGCAAGACTGAGACAGGAAAATCGCTTGAACCCAGGAGGCGGAGGTTGTAGTAAGCTGACATAGTGCCACTGTACTCCAGCCTGGGTGACAGCGAGACTGTGTCTCAAAAAAAAAAAAAGAAAAAGAAAAGAAAAATGTGCTATCAAGCCATGAAAAGACATGGAGAAAACATAAATACTTATTACTAAGTTAAAGAAGCCAGTCTAAACGGCTACAGACTGTGTGATTCCAACTATATGACATTCTGGAAAAGGCAAATTATGGAGACAGTAAAAAGATCAATGGTTGCCAGGGTTTAGTGGGGGAGGGAGGCAGAGCACAGAGGATTTTTTAGAGCAATGAAACTAATCTATATGATACTATAAGACATATCTACTATAATAGTAGATATATGTCATTATACATTTGTTTAAATTCATACAATGCACAACACCAAGAGTGAACCCTAATGTAAACTATAGACACTGGGTGATAATAATGTGTCAATACAGGTTCATCAATTGTAATAATGTACCACTCTGGTGGGGGATGTAAAATGGTGCATACATTTTTCAAATGCATATCCATCAAATGGCTAATAAGGAAGACTACGCATGAATGGGGCCCAGAATATACAGAAAATCTCCTTACCTTCTGTTCAATTTTATTGTGAACTTAAGACTGCTCTTAAAAATAAAGCCTATTTTAAAAAACTATTACACCTATTTTTATATTGAGAATCCAGTTAGAAAGAATTTGCCTAAAAGCATAACCTAAATATACCTAGTATCTTTATATCAAAGTTCTACTCCCTAAGATTAAATATCTGTTACGTTATTATACAAACACATTTTTTCCTATTAGTAGTAAGATCTAATGACTTCAAAGGAACACATTCAAAGATCTTTTAAAGTTAAAAGTGAAGTTATTTTCAAAAATGAGGACCCAAGGGTGGAGCAGAAGAAAGCACCTTTGTTCTATGGTTACAGGAAAAAAAAAAAAAGCTAGTTTCCTTTGAGACGAGAGAAGTGATACAGATGTGCATTGTAGATGAGGCTTTCCTTAAAAGGTATTTAGTAGAAAGCGGAAGGACAAAGTATAAATCCTCTTCCTACAGAGGAAGAACCACCCTTCTATTTTCCCAAGAGAAGCATCTCAAGAAAAATAAACATAATATAACACAGGATGAGATAGCATCCAAAAGAAATAGAATCAACACATCAACAGATTTAGAAATTTAATAAGATATAAAATCATTTTTATTTTTATTTTTAAGACAGAGTCTCACTCTGTCACCAGGATGGAGTGCAGTGGTGTGATCTTGGCTCACTGCAACCTCTGCTTCCTTGGTTCAAGCAATTCTCCTGACCTAGACTCCCAAGTAGCTGGGACTACAGGTGCCCGCCACCACATCCAGCTAATTTTTGTATTTTTAGTAGAGACAAGGTTTCACCATGTTGGCCAGGATGGTCTCTATCTCCTGACCTTGTGATCCACCCACCTCGGCCTCCCAAAGTGCTGGGATTACAGGTGTAAGCCACAATGCCTGGCCAGTCATTTTTACTTTAAAAATTATGGCAAAATATACATAAGTCAAAATTTATCATTCAAACCATTGTAAGTGTATAGTTTAGTGTCATTAAATACATTCACAGTTGTGCAACCACCAACACCAAAGAGTAGTTTTATTTCTTACATTTCATTAAGTTTATTTTATAACAATTAGTTTGCAATAGGCTTAAGTCTATTAAAATAAGTCTAATAAAAATAATGTCTTATTAATTTGCCAATTGACATTTTTCAAACTCTAGTAACCTTCTTAATACTATTATCCTAAATATACTACTCATTTACATGAAACTTTTTTAAATAAAACTTTTATGAGAATCAGAAGGATTGTAAGCCAACATGGATGAGGAAATAGGACTTAGCAAAGACAGAAAAGACCACCTCTGTACTCCACAACTTCAAAACTTACCTTATTTTCTTCAACCAATTTGGAAATGAGATCATCTCTAGAAACTAAAAACAAAAATTCCACATAACTATGGTAATAGTAACTTGCTACATTGAAATCACATAGTGAGAAGCTTTAAATTTTTTATGTCTATTTTTTGTAGAGATAAGGAGAACCCAACTATTTCTATCATATTTTTATAGATTAGAAACTGCTATGGAATTATCAAAAAACTAGTCCACAGTCATTTGCAATGGTAAGTGAGGTCTCTGAAGGATGTTATGCTGAGGAGGGGTATGATCAAAAGATATGTGTTAGAGAGATCACTCTAACAAAGGTACAATAAAGGCAAGGAGATGAATTTAGTAGCTGTTAAAGTAACTGACATACGAGTAAATGACAATTCAATAAAGTAATAACAATGAGGACTAACTCTCACTGGTCATGACAACAGAGATGCAGAGGAAAAACAGATATGTGAAACAGTACACAGAGAGCACTTTAGGACTTGGTGGCTTACTGGTGGGGTAAAAGCAACAGATGAGACAAGGAGAACAACTGGCATTCAGACTGGGGCAGCAGGGTGAACAGTGGACTCTTCAGCTACATAGGGAATACAGAGCATGGAGCAGGTATAGAAAGAGTGAAGCACTTAAGTTTTTTGCATGTTTTGACATCTGCAAAGTATCCAAATGTAGACATTTAGTTGACAATAACATACTGGTCTAGAACTCAGGAAGATGACTTCGCATGGGAAAAAAAAGATTGGAAACCACTCAGAGCATATATAATGAAAAGAAAACCAAAGACAGAAAATTGTGGAATGGTTTGGCATTATATACCAGTAGCCAAAAAGTGTAAACTTATCTGAGAGTAATTGCCTTCACAGAAAAATTCAGAGAGATCAGTTTTGTTTCACTTAAATATTCTAAAGCCAGAAATTATAAGACACATAAAACTCACGTTTTATAAAGGATATACCTTTGAAAAACTAGACTTTTTGAATATATGAATCCACAACTCATTAGAATAAACTCTAATTTAAAATACGTGAAGGATAAAAAAGATGAATTATATGACTTTTTTTGGAAAATTCTACTAACCAAAATAAGAATAGAAGTGTTTTACTTGGAAGAACAATTTATTCATTTTAAGTACTATAAATACGTATATAAATGCTTATTGTTAATAAACTTGATTACATTTTTAATCCATTGAAGCAAATATTCAAAGGCATTCCTTTTATTAATGTAGTTCAAGCAACTACTTGTAACTTTAAGTAATAAAATATATGTCAAGTCTGTAATTCAATATTATGCATCTAGTTGGCATCCAGACAGGCTTCCTTTTCCTTGTGTGAGTTTGAAATTGTGTTTTAATTTGAAATTGTGTTTTAATCTTCATTTTTAATGGTCTCACACAAACTCTTTATAAAATTCAAAAATAAAGCATTACTCCAACAAGAAAGTAACATAAAAATTCAGTGGGCCAACTAATATAATAGAAAGATAACTGTTGTAGGCCCAGCTATTCCACTTGCTGTGGGTCTTTGGGTACAGACAGTGTGGATCCTTTTCTATCTTCTACGCAATGTGTGTATCTTCTTATCTTTCTGAAAAGGTTGTTGCAGTGCTCAAATGAGATAATGTGGCAACACCATAAAATGTACATGTATTTTTGTAGGCACACAATTATAGAAAGACAGAAAATTATCCAGGGGCATTGTCAGTGAGAACTTCACACAATAATTTACTACTGTAAGAAAAGGGAATATTTTCTGCTAAAAGCAGTAAGTCAAAACATTGAATAGATTACTCTTGCTCTATTATTTTTTATCATTTCCATTTCCTTTTTGGTATCATCAACCCCCACTACAGCCACAGAGCAGAAAAGGTGAACTGGAGAGAACACTAGACTTGGATTTAGGAGATCCAGGTCTAGGTCTTACTTTGTTCATTTTTTTTCCTTTTGTAACTCTGGGAAATATGGATAGCTTTGAGTACTGAATGAAATAATTTATGTGAAAGCTCAGTGTAAACCATGCTGTATTAGTCACATGAAGCACTGCACTATAACTCTGTGACCTCTGTCATTGAGACTATCTGGAAACTGCTTTACAATAAAGTACTAGCAACAGTGGTAGGATAAAGGGCTGATGGGTTACAAGAAACATGACTGAACACCTTGGGATCAAGTCTAGGCTGTTTCATTTCCTAACTCTGTCACCTTTGAGGACTTATCTATAAAAGAGGAGATTAATCTAAGCTCTCTTTAAGGTACCTTCCAATTTCCATGTCTACAAATATAGGTTAACCAAAATAGACTGATAACATGAAGAATGGAGAATCTGACGTGACAAATTGACAGAATCAGTAAGTTATCAGGGATTCATGGCCTTACTTATTATTTTATTATCCAATATTCAATCTATTGTTTTACTTTATTGCCAAATATTCAATCTAGATGTCTAGAAACCAATTCTCAAGTCCACAAACGAGCTGTAAAAAAACTAAGTAAGGACTTGTCTACAATTAAGAGGGTCAAATCTATTATTAACAACATTCCTTTCTATCTCAGTACTACAGGTAGAAGGGAAATCTGCAATTTTTTACATACAGTACTGTGGGAAATATCAGTAACACTTGCCACTTTAAGAATGTGGGATCTTAAGAGTTTTTCAATGAAATTTCAAAAAACTAACAAGAAGCTGATTTCTAGCATCTAGTTTCATACTTAGATCAGATTTGAGCTGTGAAGTAGCAGTCTCCAACTCTTCTTTTTTTTCCTGTTCCTGGGCCAGTAGTTCTTGAGTGCTCTGCATAGAATCACGTAGAGCAATGCAGTTTTGCTGCAAGATGTGCACCTGAAATTGTATCAGAAAAACTCCTTTTCTGTAAGATAAAGATTTCTAATAAACTGCCTTATACCACATGTGTAAGGCAACATTCCAATCTTAATGTCACTGAGAAGCAACAATAAGTTAGTCTATGTTACAGTTAAAATCTCAATGAAATGCAGTCTTGGAGCAATGCCACCCAATAGAACCTTCTGTGCACTCTCCAATGCAAACAGTACACTAGCCACAAGTGGCTACTGAACACTTGAATGTGTCTAGTGTGTGAAGAAATAAATATTTTATTTAACTGATTTAAATAGCCGTATGTGGCTAATGGCTACCATATTGGCACTGCAAGTTAGAGCAACAAAGGGTCATCTCTAAATTCCTAAAGTAGAATCTTAGTTATAATTTAGTTATGAAGGAAAACCATTGGTTAAAATAAAGATTATATCATCCAAAAATTATTTTAAAATATGAAAATATGAATTGACTCAGATAGTTAGAATTTAAAGTATGCTAAATTATATGTAGATACTTCCAATAAAAAATATGAAGGTAAACATATCATGTTAAAATAAATAACGATAATTAACAGCAGTATAAACATAGTCCTGATTGTTTTACTTATTGATATCCTTTGCTTCCAGTGTTAGATCAGTTTAGCCTTTATTTTCTATCCATGTCAGACATACACAGCATGAGACCAGGGCAATGGCTTCCAAAATCAATCTCTATAGCAGAAAGTGTATAGTATAAGGCAAAAATATCTTTCCTTAGGAGCCAAGAGTTCACCTCTATAAAGCCTGAGGTAAATTAACCTCTCTGGTCCTTAACTCTCTGATTTATAAATTAAGAGCATTTAATAATGACATTAGGGTCTTTCTTATTTTGCACTAACTTAAAAACAGTAGTAAGATTGCTAACATATTACTAACAAAAAGTAAATATTTTAATAAATCTAGAGGAAATTAGTAAAATGTTAAGTTTGCAGGTAAAATACCAATTTTTGTTTGGTTTCGCGTCCCAATTATACATAAGGAGAGGAATTCTTTCTACCTGTTTTCGTTCTACTTCCACTGTTGATCCCATTTCTTGTATTTTGAGGAGCATGGCTGATCCCGATTTCTCTAAAGATTCCCTAAGGTACTTCTCCTGAGCCAGTTGTCTCCTTAGCTACAAAGCAACACTGCAGTTAAGTAAGACCAACTAAACATCATACTAGTTAAATAAACATCAAAGTTACCTGAGAAGTTTATCAGACATGCCATCTCACCTCCCAACAGTCTTCAATCATTTATGACTACTCAGAAACATGCTTTTATTTCTCCCTGGATTACCTAGGAATACCTCCTAAGGAATGTAGATCAAAATTTATTGCTCTCATCCTCCTATAGTTTAGGTCTGTTTTCCAAATTGGAGGTTAAAACCCATTCGTAAATTGAAAGAAGCACTTAGAAAAAGGGGAAAAAAAGACTAGAAAAAAAATATTAGAGTGCATAGGAAGTAGTAAGGGTAAGTGCTGCTTTGTGAAATGTTTGTGTATATATGTATGTGTGTTGCAGTGTAAAATATATGTCCAACAATGGATTGTCAAAAAAAAGTTTGAAAAACACTAGTAATTCTTTGTGTATTTTCTGTGTTTTTGTATTTTCTGGCTTTATTTTTCAATTCTAATTTTCCTGTATTTTGATTTATCTATATATTTTTTATCCTTCAGCATTATAAATATCTCTCTGAAAACTGTTTTAATTCTGTTTAGAATTTAGAGTCCTAAACAAATAATGAAATAAGCATTAAGTAGCAGACAAAACTGATACTCAAAGAATTTAGGTGCTGTAATATTGTGTTATAATAAGAAAAATATATTTAGTCTCTGCCCCTGGTTCCTGCCACATAGCTCATAAAAACCTTAGAATCACCTCAAGAGTGTCTTTTGTGTGCTAATGAATGATTGGCTGGGGGTGGGGGAAGACAGGTAGCTGTGGTGGGGGCTGGTCCCCAGAAAGACCAAGGCATAATTAGAGGATTGGGACTTCTACCCCTCCTTTCAACCTCTAATGATGAGAAAAGGGCTGTAAGGGAAGCTGATCATCAGTGGCCAATGATTTAATCAATCATGCCTATGTAATGAAGCCTCCATAAAATTCAGAAGAACTGGGTTCAGAGTGCTTCTGGATAGCTGAACACATGGAGGTGCTTAGAGGGTGATGAGCCCCAGAAAGGGCCTGCGCCCCTTCCCACATGCCTTGCCCTGTGCATCTCTTTCAACTGGCTGCTCAACTGTATCCTTTGTAATGTCAAATCACAAATGGGTGTAAATGAAGTGTCCGAATTCTCTGAGCTATTCTAGCAAATACTGAAACTTGTGGAGAGGCATCATAGGAACACCAATTTTTTGCAAGTCAGTTAGAGGGACAACTTGGGGCTTGCAATTGGCGTCTAAAGTGGGGGGCAATCTTGTGAGACTGAATCCTCACCTATCTCCAAGTAGATAGTGTCAGGACTCAACTGAATTACAGGACACTCAACTGGTGCCCGTGAAGATCAGAATTTCTTGGTGTGTCATTGGGTGTCAGAACTGTTGTGCTGTGAGGTATATAAGAGTAGAAGAACACACTTTGTTTTTTTTCCCCTATTTTGGAGGCACACTGACCTTATTTCTGTCAATAAATGACTATAAAAGGTTAAGAGTCTCTTTTATCATTAGGTAAAGAGATCCCTTCCAATTGAAACAGGAATTGCAGAGAATGCTATTCCTTTCAAGAAGTGATGTGAAAATGAAAGAACTTCTATTTTAAAACCCCACTGTAGATGACATTAAGAGTACACTCTACCTGTTTTCTAAATTGTACACGTATTTTTTTCCTCTATGGATAATATATTTTATATATATATATTTTTTTTTGAGACGGAGTTTCTCTCGTTACCCAGGCTGGAGTGCAATGGCACGATCTTGGCTCACTGCAACCTCCGCCTCCTGGGTTCAGGCAATTCTCCTGCCTCAGCCTCCTGAGCAGCTGGGATTACAGGCGCGCACCACCATCCCCAGCTGATTTTTTGTATTTTTAGTAGAGATGAGGTTTCACCATGTTGACCAGGATGGTCTCGATCTCTTGACCTCATGATCCACCCAGCCTCAGCCTCCCAAAGTGCTGGGATTACAGGCTTGAGCCAGCGCGCCCGACCATATTTTATATTTTTTAAAATGTTTCTTAAAAGTTAAAAAAGGTTAAAAACGTGTTGGGACAAAACTATTACAAGATTGATCATTTTGGAAATGCTCTATAACTTTCTTAATCATATCCTTGATATTTGACATACAGGTTTTTTCCAATTTTTCACTATTCTAAATACTGCTCTCCTGAACATACTTGTGAGTAGGTCTTTCCTTACTTTTCTGATTATTTCCTTAGGACAAATTCCTATAACAAGAATCACTAGGTTAAAGGTACAAATGTTTTTTAAAATTTTTGATACATAGTGTAATTTTCCAATTATTACCTTCCTACCTGTACTATTTGAATAAATCTCATCAGTACTATGTATTAAAATTTGCTTAAATCTCTTCTGATCTAATAAATGAAAACTAACATCTTAATATTTCTGCATTTCTTTGGTTACTATGAGATTAAATATCTTCTAATATACTTATCGGCTCTTTATATATTTAATAAACTTTCAATACTTATCCTTTGCCCCTTGTTTTTTTGGGTATTTTTAGACAATTTTATGGTTTTTTGGTTTTGTTTTTGTTTTTTTTTGGGAAACAGGGTCTCACTGTGTCAGCCAGGCTGACTGAAGTGGTAAAACCATGATTCACTGCAGTCTAGACCTCCCAGGCTCAAGTGATCCTCCCACCTCAGCCTCCTGAGTACCTGGTACTAAAGGAGTGTGCCACCATGCCCAGCTGATTTTAAAAATCTGCTATTGATCCAGGGTCTCACTTTGTTGCCAAGGGTTGTCTCAAACTTCTGGGTTCAAGTGATGCTCCTGCCTTAGCCTCCCAAAATGCTGAGATTACAGGTATGAGCCACTGTGCCTGGCAGTTTTGAGTTTTGGGGGGGTTTTTGGAGACAGGATCTCACTCTGTGGCCTAGGCTGTAGTGCAGTGGCATGATCACTGCAGCCTCAACCTCACAGGCTCAACTGATCCTTCCACCTCAGCCTCCTAAGTAGCTGGGACCACTGGTGTACACCACTGTGCCTGGCTAATTATTTTTTTTTTTTGGTAGAAATGGAGTTTTGCCATGTTGCTCAGGCTGTTAAGTTCTTTAAAAGGGAAAACTATTAACTCTTTGCCTAGTTGTGTTATAATGCCTTATTACAGGGGTCCTCAACCCCCAGAGCCACAGACTGGTACTGCTCTGTGGCTTGTTAGGAACCAGGCCGCAGAGCAGGTGAGCAGTGGGTGAACCAGCCCTACTGCCTGAGCTCTGCCTTCTGTCAGATCAGTGGCAGCAATAGTTTATCATAGGACCGTGAACTCTAATGTGAACTGTGCAAGCAAGGGATCTAGGTTGCGTGCTTCTTATGAGAATCTAACTAATGCCTGATGATTCAAGGTGGAATGGTTTCATCCCAAAACCATTCCCCTCAACTTCCCAATCCAATGGAAAAACTGTCTTCCACAAAAGTGGTCCCTAGTGCCAAAAAGGTTAGGGACTGCTGCTTTATTCGTTTTGCTTTTTATATGTAGAAGTATTCTTATGTGGTCAGATCTACCTATCTTTTTATAATTCTGTTCTTTTTAAGCTTAGAAATTGCGTATTTACTCAATGATATGTTAAACATTACAATCTTATGTAAGAATGAGCCATTTTATTTGTGGTTATATTTTTTCAGATTTTAGTATCAAATTATAATTGTATAGAGTAATCCATTGAATGTAGAATACAGTAGCTTAGTATACTTTTCTAAACTTTGTGTCAAATTATATAATATAATTTATTCAAGATAAATTTATTCCTTGAAAGTTTCAAAATACTCACCCAGGAAATCATCTCATTTAAATTTTAGTTGCATCACTGTCAAATGTGATTCAATCTCTAGTTCATTTGGAATTATTATTTCACTCTTTTAAATTCTGTGTTAATCACCCCTATTATGTATGCTTCAAAGCATTCAGCTAGCCACCTTTGTAAAGAATGGCCACTTTTAAAAACAGACATTTTCCTGTCTTATACATGATATACCTATAATGTGATGTACAAAAGCATATTACAAAAAGAATGCTTTAATACTAAAGTATTTGTTTCTCAAGTACTATTAAGGGCAATCAGTTAATCCATTGAATGTCTATCATACCCAGATTTTGTATCTATCTTATATTTATTATATCTTAGGAAGATAAATACCACACTTCTTCTATCTGTATATAATCCTCTGTCATAAGCTGATTGTGTCCTCTAAAATGCTTACGTTGAAGCCCAACATCTGCTACCACACAAGGAGACTTTATTTGGAGATAGGGCCTTTCAACAGGCGATTAAATTAAAATGAAGCCACTGGGGTGGACCCTAAACCAAACTGACTATATCCTTCTTAGAAGAGATTCAGACACATAAAAACACCAGAGATGGGTATACACAAAGAAAAGAGCATGTGAGGACCCAGTTAGAAGGCGGACACCTTCAAGCCAAGGAGAAAGGCCTCAAGAGAAACCAAATCTGCTAACACCTTGACTTTGGACTTCAAGTCTCCAGAACATATAAATAAATAAATTTCTGTTTACACTACCAAGTCTTTAGGACTTTGTTATGGCAGCCCAGCAAACTAATACACCCTTTCTATTTCACATGCCCTCAGAATGCCCATGTTTGACTAGCGTAGTACTTCTGCACGTCTTTGACAGAGTTTAATCAAAATTCAAGACTTTACCATAGAACCAAGAATTAAGAATAAGACTTTCCTAGTAAAAAATAATGTTAAGTGGCAATCCAAAAGAGAAGGGATTGTCTTTTCAACAAATGGTGCCAGAAACACTGGACATCCATATGCCAAGAAGAAATTCATCTAGATACAGATCTCACACCTTTCATAAAAATTAGCTCAGAACACATCAAAGACCTAAATGTAAAATGAAAACCTACAAAATCTCTTAGAAGATTACACAAAAGAAAATCTAGGTGACTTGGGCTTACTGACTTTTTAGATACAATTCTAAAATTACAATCCACGAAAGAAAAAATTGATATACTGGACTTCATTAAAATTAAAAGTTCCTGTTCTGTGAAAGACAGGTAAAAGCATAAAAAGATAAGCTATATAGTAGGGGAAAATAATTGCATAACACTTCTTTGATAAAGGGCTGGTATCCAAAATATACAAAGAACTCTTAAAACATAACAATAAGAAATAACCCAGTTACAAAATGGGGCAAAAGTCTAACAGATAACTCACCAAAGGAGATATACAGATGGCAAATAAACATTTGAGAAGATGCTCAATGTCATTATATCATTAGGGATTGCAAATCAAACCAAGATACCAGTACACATCTATTGGAATGGCAAAAAATTCAAAACACTGACAAGACCAAATGCTGGTGAGGATATGCAGTAACCATAACTCCTATTCCTTGCTGATGGGCATGAAAAATGATACAGCCACTTTGTAAGACAGGTTGGCAGCTTCATACAAAGCTAAACATAGGCTTACCAGATGATCCAGCAATTACACTCCTAGGTATTATATTTACCCAAAAGAGCTGCAAACTCATGTCTACGTAAGAACCTGCACACAATGTTTATAGCAGCTTTACTCATAATTGCCAAAAGTTGGAAGCAAACAATATGTCCCTGAATAGGTGAATGGATAAACAAATTGTGGCACATACAATAGAATACTGTTCAGCTATACAAAGAAATGAGTTACTGAGCCATGAAAAACCATGAAGGAACTTGAAGCACATATGCTAAAAAAGAAGCCAGTACAAAAAGGCTACATACACACTGTATGATTTCAACAATAACACAACTATAGAGACAAAAAAAAAGATCAGTGGTTGTCAGGGGCTCAGGGGAAGACTTGAGGAGGGACGGGTAGGTGGAGCACAGGGCATTTTCAGGGCAGTGCATCTATTCTGTGTGATTCCATAATGATGAATACATGGCATTATGCATTTGTCAAACCCACAGAACTTTACAGCATGATGAATAGTGAATCTTAACATACTTCACTAAATGAGGGATCAATATTGGCTCATCAAATGTTACAAAAGTACCATAATAATGCAAGATGTTAATAACAGGGAAACTACAGGAGTGGAGAGAAGGGTATACAGGAACTCTGTGTTTTCTGCATCATTTTTCTGTGAACCTGAAACTGCCCTAAAAAGTCTATTAAAATATCTTAAAAATAAACTTAATACATTCTAACTATGAACAATCAAGCTTTTATCAGAAATTACTGGCAAATAAAACACTCAATATAAGACAGTTTTCCAAATACCAATGCTTACCACCTAAGCACTAAAATTTAGAACCTTAAAAATAGTTTTGCATAAGAATTTTCCTTAAAAATATGTCTACTTCTCTATTTTGTATAACAGAATCTTTTAAATATAATTTGACCCACTAGATTTGAACTAACATCAATTATTAATACTATTATGTCACGGAATATTGAGGTTTCAGGCCACTGCCAGAGTATACTGAGTTAGTAACCCTACTGATTCTTCCACTGTTTTCAGCTGCAAATTTTTAGTCCAACAGCTTTTAGCAGCCACCTACTTCATATTTCCCAATCTGCTATCTACTAAAACAAGCTGAAATGAAAGTTTAAGGTAAAATTAGATGAGCAGACTTATTAATAACTTTTTATTTTAAATACAACTTTAGATTAAAAGGCCTTTGCATGAAAGCATCCACTTAACTACAATATAGGGGCAGCCACAAGTGTTAACTATTTTCTTTCTGGCTCACAGAGCATTTATTGTTTATTTCTAGTTTTATGACAGTATTGGGGTAAAAGGAAGTCCTAATGTTATTTAAGAGCAGAAACTTTCACTTGAATTCAATGTGGCATATTTTTAAAGTCTCCCTACTACATAGTCACATATTTCCTTCTTCAACCGTTTCTTTTCATTCTCTCTTTCAGCTTTCTTGATTTCCCTTGTGCAATTCCAAGACCTCCTCCACCCTCTGACTTTTTGTCTTACCTCCTGAATTTTAAGGTTCATTTTACGTTTTGTGGTCTTCAGTTCCTCTTCAATAACGGCTGCATTCTTCTAAAAGTAGAAGGAGAAAGGGTTCTAAATAATCTGAAATGACAGGAAAAAATTGTCTATAGGTAGATTCAGATCAAATCAGGTTTTCTTCTGGCAACCTATACATACATGCCATTTTTAATATGGTTATAACTCTTTGTTATAAGCCTGAAGTAATTATTAACATGAGTTATTTAGCAGGAAGGTTATTTTATTATATATGCATATTATATATACATGATTTCTATAATTTCCTCTTTTTTTTTTTTTTTTTTTTTGAGACAGAGTTTCGCTCTTGTTACCCAGGCTGGAGTGCAATGGCGCGATCTCGGCTCACTGCAACCTCCGCCTCCTGGGTTCAGGCAATTCTCCTGCCTCAGCCTCCTGAGTAGCTGGGATTACAGGCACGTGCCACCATGCCCAGCTAATTTTTTGTATTTTGAGTAGAGACGGGGTTTCACTATGTTGACCGGGATGGTCTCGATCTCTTGACCTCGTGATCCACCCGCCTCGGCCTCCCAAACTGCTGGGATTACAGGCTTGAGCCACCGCGCCCGGCCTAATTTCCTCTTTTATATCATAAATAGTGATTAATTGCACCCACCTCCTATATAAAATTCAGTAATTAGCGGATAATCTGGTAATCAAAAGACATTTTACTTACAGGGTAAATTCTTAACTTTTTTAAGAAATCTGTTTTTTCCACCTTCAAATATTATTCATGCTTATGAGCTGAGGATGAAAAAGACAGCTTTCCTTACTTATTCTCTTTTTTATTAAGATGAATGGCACCACAATCTCAGATGTAAAACCTGAGAGCCATCTTTGCCTTCCTTACCCTCATCAGTTCCTCCCAGTACCATATTCTAACATATCTTTTTTTTTTAAAGAATACTCTTCTTTCTTTTGAAAATGCCACAACCCTAGATCAGACCCAATTTGGCTCATGCCTCAAATAGTGCCATGGATTCCTAATTGGTTTCCCTGCCTCCAATTTGTCTCCCTATTTTCAATATCCTATAATACTGCTAAATTTGTTTTCCTATTTTCATTATGTCACTTCCATATCAAAAATCTTAATCTTTCAAGTAGTTGGGGTCGATCCTATGGGGAGTGCTGTCTTAAAAGGATCAACCCCAACTACTAATTATTATTGATTTTGAGCTGCTCTATAATGTCATTGCTAGCTAATATCCAACTTATTTCCCACAAACAAATCCTCACTCTTGAAAACCTAGTTAATACATTTCCCCTAGCTGCACCCAGTAGAAACATCTGGGTTCAAACCTGAGTAACAAGAAGATGACAGGCATGTGTGATCTTAGACAAGTGATTTCTCCTAGGGACCCAGTACTATCATTGTTAAAAAAATAGGTACAGTAATATCCTACTTCCCAAGGTTTTGCAAAGATTAAACAAAATAACACGTTGGCCACTGATTAGGTTGTCTAGCCCGTGAAGGGAGAACAACATTGTCAGTTTCTTTTCCAAGGAGTCCTTATTCTTTGCTGCCTCTGCATATGCTCCTTGAAATTTCCTCACCCCTATACTTTGCTTCTAAAGGTCCTATCCCTTTCCTGAAGCCTACCTAATCTATTCTAGATAGGGCATCCTCACCCTCTCAAACATGTCTGAACACAAAGCCCTTACTCGGCAATATTCACTTTTTGTCTTATACTATACTGTAACATTTCCTATACAGGTATTGATCGACTATAACCTATGCAACTTACAACCATTAGACTTTATGACCACAATCGCTAGCCACGACTGCTCCGCGTCTGGCAGTGTAAACGTTACCCAGCTGGGCGTACGACAGTGCAGACCAGCTTCCGGCAGCACTACCATCTCCACGTGCACCATTTCAACTGTTATCCCAGACTTGGTACAGCAATTTGTGTTTTGTGTCTTGGATATTTTTCATCAAACCCCTTCCAAGATATCTACCAAGAGGAATTGCCAATAAAATGTTTTGTACATGTTTATATATTTTGATATGTTTTGCAATTGGGAAAATGTTTCCTATGGTATTTTTTATACCTGTATTTTGTATTTTTGTATGCACCTGTATTTTGCTATTTTGTATGTTTTGCAAATATTAAACCAGTTGTAGGTAATGCAGTGTTTTACTTAAATTTGACGAATGTAAAAATAAGAAACAAAATGATGTAGAGATGATACAAATGGCATAAAATGAACAAATTATGATATATAACAATAATGAAAGAAAATTATGATAAACTATGACTTAAAGATTTTTATAACATCATTTCACAGTACTATACATATAGCCTACTCAACTTACTACCAAATTGTGTTACGACCGGTCTGTCGGAACCAATCGTGGTCATAAGTCGAGCACTAGCTGTACTCCTATTTTTCCCTTATTGAATTTTTCATACTGTGGCTTGTTCTCCCAATGAGCATAAGAGTTCCTCCTGAAGAGCACAGGCTCTATCTCATACCTCTGGACCCTTACCATCACTTGTATGGGGTAAGTGTTATATAAATAATCAATCACAGACAGCCCACAGTGGTTTAGGTTATCAATGCAAATGTCATAGGCCAAGAGTCCTCGAATCAACATGCCAAATGTCAAATGCCGAGAATCTTCATATCAACATCACCTATTTTTAAAAGTCAGTGTCATAGGTCTGTCACCTCCTCCAGCTACATAACAGTGCGTACTTCAGGACTCTAGACTCAAACCTTTGTTTGTGAGGCAATCTCCAGAGTGGCAGTCAACCTTTGCACCTCATCTTGTGCCTTGTCTTCTTCCTCTTTTACAGCTCTCAGTTGCTGGCGCAAATTCATAACTTCGAGATGCAATAGCTTCAGGTCCTTAGAATGCTCGTCCTGTATTGCATTCAGTCGATCTTTCAGAAAAGCTACCAGACAGCACGGGAGGGTCATCAAGCAATAGAAAGTCAGTAAAGGAAATCAAGCACCTACACAGGACCAAGTTTCTGATGATTCTTATCTCTATACCTGTTTTCTGAGGATTCAAGTCCTTTTCAGTTTGCAGGCGAAAGATGTTCATCTTCAAGGACTGAATGAGGCTTTCAAGACGGCACATTCGATTTACCAGAAACTCACAGTTCTTCCATAAAATGTCAGTTTTTCCTGCACAAATTACTTCATTTTGGATAGGACTAATGACTTTCTGGCTCTCCACGTCTTCTAAACAGCTTGGAGTTTCCAACTGGCCTCTGGACAAAGATCCCAATATAACAATATTATGTAACGCAATTTCTACTACAGTAATCCCAACAATTGAGTCAATGTAACATTTCCAGTAAGAATAACTGGAGAGTGACATCACCAACATGGCAGGTCTCTGACTCTCCATGTAGGGACACACTAAATAAACATCTATACACAGATCTATTCCCTCTGAGACAAAGTCAGAAACAAGTTGAGGGACTCTTCTGTCAACTTCTGGCAACTGAGAAAATACTCACACTGACTAGGTAGGAAAAGCTGAGACACACTCAGGCCCAAACCCCACCTCAGGCACTGTAGGAAGGCAACCCCAACACCCACCCTCTCCCTGAGGAGAGAAGGGTTTGGACCACATAATTAGAGCCCTAACTCTTGAGATTTCCCACAGTGTGGCTCTTGATTCACCTGACTCTAGGGGCAGAAGGGATTAGGCACACATGAGTCTCCCTAGACCATGGAACAAAGAGGTGATTATACATGGGTGTGTAAGCATTTACAGAGGCTTCATCCCCCAGGATCAGGGTAGAGAAGGGACTAAAACTCAAAGCTCCCAGTTTCTGTTTGGAAGAGGTTTGCCAGTGTACTCTGTCAACTGCTGCTGTTAAGAGTTGAGCTTCATACAAGCCTGCACCAGAGAATCAACTGGGCTGACAAACAGTAACCTTTGGCAGCCTGAAAGAGAGCTTGGCAGCCCACAAACCTATTCCCCTGGCTCATTCCATCAATAACTCCACTCTACCAATTCCTCCTGGAAAAAGTTTTTCCATGCATCAAGTGCCCCAACTTTTAAAACTTCTACTTGAGGGACTGCATCCTAAATATCCTAGCTCTAGGGGTAGAAAGGATTAGGAATACAAGACTCTCATATGAGACTCACAGCTTGCAATACCAGGAGGTGGTTTTAAACAGGAGTGTAAGCAGTTCCAGGGATTACACCTCTTGGAAGCAGTGAAGAGAAAGTGCTAAAACACACATTTTGTTTTTGTCTAAAAAGGATTTCTCTGTACATTCTTCCAGTGAATAATTGATGGTCTGGCTTCTGACTAACTTACATCAGGGAGTTAATGGGGCAGGCAAACAATACACCTCCGGCAGACTAAATGAGAGCTTGGTACTTGCCAAGACTTCTCCCCTAGCTTGCCCCAGTGATAACCCCAAGTCTACAGAAGCTTCCTATATGTAGTTTGTCCACTCATCAAGTGTCATAACTTCTACAGCTCTCATACAAGGACTACCTCCTTAGACATCCAGCTCTGGGAGCTGATTTGGCTATGCAGTTCCAATTATCTTTAGGTCACAGAAAACAAAGAGGTAGATATACAATGGGCCCACTTCCAGTGGCCATATCCTCAGAAGACGCAGTCTGAATGACAGTACTACAGGTATTTACCACAGAGCTTCTCCCTGGCTTAAGGAGAGAAAAATGCCTGCCTTTGTGCAGATAGATAATGCCTGCTTTAGTGCAATAAGGGATAAATGCCTACTCTCAGCTTTACCCTGAGGACAGAAGGAACTGGAACATGCATCTAACACCCCAGCATTTTTAGCTGCATCTAGAGAGCATGGCTTCTGTCTTACCGCTCTCATGGTACTAACAAGACTTGGCACATCTTAATCTTCTGGGGCCACCAAAAATAGAGAGATCAGATTGTACAAATACAGAGATTTGAGAGATGTATTAAAATTTCTGGGGCCGGGCGCGGTGGCTCAAGCCTGTAATCCCAGAACTTTGGGAGGCCGAGGTGGGTGGATTACAAGGTCGAGAGATCGAGACCAACCTGGTCAACATGGTGAAATCCCGTCTCTACTAAAAATACAAAAAATTAGCTGGGCATGGTGGTGCATGCCTATAATCCCAGCTACTCAGGAGGCTGAGGCAGGAGAATTGCCTGAACCCAGGAGGCGGAGGTTGCGGTGAGCCGAGATCGCGCCATTGCACTCCAGCCTGGGTAACGAGCGAAACTCCGTCTCAAAAATAAATAAATAAATAAATAATAAATGAATAAATAAAATAAAATAAAATTTCTGGCTGTATGAATTGGTAAGATCTCCTACACGAGGGCCAGTTTGACAAGACTAGGAGAGGTTACTGTCTTACTCAATCCACAGAAATCAACAGAGTTAAAAAAAAAAAAACTGAAGACATAGGAAAATGTTCCAAATAAAAGAACAAGATAAATATCCAGAAACCAATCCTACTGAAATGGAAATATGTGGTTTATACAAGAAGGAATTCAAAATAATGGTCATAAAGATGTTCACCAAGGTCAGGAAAATAATGCAAGAACAAACAGAATTTCAACAAAAGAGAGTAAGAAAGTATAAAAAAGTACCCAACAAATCATATAGTGAAGAATACTATAATAGAACTGAAAAAATTCAATAAGGGGCTCAAAGACAGACTATATCAAGTGGAAGTGAATAAGTAAACCTGACGGCAGGTCACTGAAAATCATCCAACGTGAGGAGCAGAAAGAAAAAATTGAAATGAGTAAAGATAGTTTATGGAACTTATGAGATACTGTCAACAGAACAATATGCCCATGATCAAAAGTGCAGAAGAGAAGGTAAAAGGAATAGAAAACACATTCGAATAAATAACAAAAAAAACTTCCCAAGCCTGGGTAAGGATATAGAAATCCAGATCCAAGAAGCCTAAAGGATGACAAATAAGATGAATTCAGAGTTTCACAGCCCCATACTTAGACACTTAGACAGTTTGGACATTTGTCCCCTCCAAATCTCATGTTAAAAAGTGATTCCCACTGTTGGAGGTAGGGCCTGGTGGGAGTTGTTTGGGTCATGGGGCAGATCACTTATGAGTGGCTTGGTAATGAGTGAGTTCTCACTTTTAGTTCACACAAGAGTTGGTTGTCTAAAGGAGTGTGGCATCTCCTCTTTCTATCACTCCCTCTCTTACCATGTGACTCACCTGCTCCCCCTTTGCCTTCCACCATGATTGTAAGCTTCTTGAGGCCCTCATTAGAAGGTAAACAAATACTGGTGCCATACTTTTATAGCCTGCAGAACTATGAGCCAAATATATGTCCTTTCTTTATAAATTACCCAGCCTCAAATATTCCCTTATAGCAACACAAAATAGACTAACACAGAAAGTTGGTAACAGAGAGACGCATTGATATAAAGATACCTGAAAATGTAAAAGCAGCTTTGGAAATGGGTAATGGGTGGAGATTGGAAGAGTTTGGAGGGCTAAGAAGAACACAGGAAAACAAGGGAAAGTGGAACTTCTTAGAGACTTAAGTGGTTGTAACAAAAATGCTGCTAGATATGTGGACAGAGGACAGGCTGAGGAGGTCTCAGATAAAAATGAGGAAGTTATTGGAAAATAGAGTAAAGGTCACCCATGTGACACCCTAGCAAAGAACTTGGCTACACTGTGTCCATGTCCTAGGGATCTGTGGAAGTTTGGATTTTTTTTTTTTTTTTTTTTTTTTTTTTTTTTTTTTTGAGACATTCTTGCTCTGTCTCCAGCTGCCAGGCTGGAGTTCAGTGGCTTGATTTCAGCTCACTGCAACCTCTGCCTCCCGGGTTCAAGCAATTCTCCTGCCTCAGTCTCCTGAGTAGCTTGGACTACAGGTGTGCACCACCATGCCCAGCTAATTTTTGTATTTTAGTAGAGATGGGGAGGGACTACAGGCGCATGACACCATGCCCAGCTAATTTTTGTATTTTAGTAGAGATGGGGTTTCACTATGTTGGCCAGGATAGTCTCAATCGCCTGACCTCATGATCCACCCGCCTTGGCCTGTCAAAGTTCTGGGATTACACGTCAGGGAGTTTGAATTTAAGAGATATGTCCTAAGGTATCCGGCAGAAGAAATCTGTAAGCAGTAAAATGTTTCAAAAGTGACGTGGCTGTTTTTAACAGCCTACAATTAGATGCAGGAGCAAAGAAATGGCTTAAGGTTGAAACTTACATTGAAAAGGGAAGTACAGTATAAAAATTTGGAAAATTTACACCCTAGGCATGTGGTAGAGAAAGAAAGAGAATTTTCAGGAAAGGAATTAAAGTGGCATGTGGAGCAACTATTTGCTAGAGAGACTGGCATGACTAAAAGGAAGCCAGATGCTAACAGCCAAGACAATGGGAAAAAGGCTTTGAAGGCATTTCAGAAATCTCTGAAGCAGCCCCTCTTATCACAGTCCCAGAGGCCTAAGATGAAAGAATGATTTAGGGGACTGGGTGTCACTGCCCTGCACCACCTCAGGAGTGTTGCCCAGATCCTAGTTGCTCTAGCTCTCACTATGGCTCAAAGGGCCCCAGATACAACCTAGGTCACTGCTTCAAAGGACATAGGCCAGGCATCCCCAAACTGCGGCCCCCTGAGGCCATTTATCCGGCCCCTCGCCACACTTCAGGAAGGGGCACCTCTTTCATTGGTGGTCAGTGAGAGGAGCACAGTATGTGGCGGCCCTCCAACGGTCTGAGGGACAGTGAACTGGCCCCCTGTGTAAAAAGTTTGGGGATGCCTGACATAGAGGCCATAAGCCTTCGTAGTTTCCATGTGATGCTAAGCTTGCAGGCGTACAGAATGCAAGAATGAAGGAGACTTAGTGGCTTCCGCCTGGATTTCAGAGGATTTTTGAGAAAGCCTGGATGCCATGCAGGAGCTCTCTGCAAAGACTCTGCCCCTGCAGCAGGCTTCTGTTATGGCAGTACTGAAGGGAAATGTGGGGCTGGAGTTCCTACAAACAGTCCTGCCCAGGGGAGCCGTGGGAATGAACCCACCCTCCAGACCTCAGGATAGAGCCACTGGTAGCTTTCACTCTGAGTCTGTAAAAGCCACAGGCACTCAACTTCAACCCTTGAGAGCAGCCATGGAGGCTGCAATCTGCAAAGCCAGAGGGGCAGAGCTGCTCAAAGCCTTGGGAGCCCACCTGGCACATCAGTGTGCCCAGGATGTGGGACACAGAGTCAAAGATTGTTTTGGACCTTTAAAATATGAAAACTGTTGCTCCTTTC